CTCTCTCTCTCTCTCTCTCTCTCTCTCTCTCGAGGAATACAAATTTAGGGTTGATATAGTAAAATAACTAATGCTGGTATTGACAAAAAAAGGAACTACTTACTAAAAAAGACCAAAAAAAAAAAAAGGAAGACAAAAACAAGGATCAAATAATGTGGTATTCCCATAATTGTGTTATTGGTCCCATTTTTACAAATGTAAAATTTAATTTATTTTTTTATTACAACCGTATCTCATCATTTTGTTCTTATTTTTTAGCTCTGGGTTTAGTCCGTCTAGCATTATTCATAGTAAATAATGGCTTTGAATTATTGAATGAATTTCAACTATTGTTATATGTGTACATATGACAAAGATATTTGAGATTTTACAACTGTTTCTGTTTTAGATCTACGAGTAGTACTATTTTTTTTTAAACAAAAGAGGAGATTTAGTGAAACTCGAATCTTGCACCAGGAAGTAAGACGGAAAAGACGCTAACCACTAGATCATTCTTTTTTACTTTGTATGAGCAATGCTATGCTACTCAACTTGTATTCCAAAAAACTTATCTCAAATAAGTTGGCACCTTCACAAACACCAAGAAATCAACTTTTTCATAAAATGTGAGATGTGTGAATATATCAACTCAATTGAAATGAATTTTTTGATATACAAATTAAATAGCTAACATTACTCTAAAGTGGAACTATTGAATAAGTGAGTTTCTTCAATTTTTTTTAATAAGACTCAATGATCTAATAATCTCTATTGATTTGGGATCTCAAACGGCACTCTTACAAGAATTAAGTCAAAAGAATGCAAGAAAGTAAAATCAACAAAGGTCAAGGGTAATTATGTAATTTTGCAAGAAACTTAGGGTGTCAAGGGTAATTATGTAATTTAGCAGAAATCTTAGTGGGGGTATAATCGGTAGGATATTCCACCAAATGAATGAAAATGATTCCAACAAACGCAAGCAATATTACACGCAAAGTTCAAACTTAGACGCGGTATTCCGTATTCCCTAGTCAACACTTACAACGAAAAAGCACTATTTCAAGGAAGCCCTTATTGTTTGGTCTATTTATAGAAGGACCCATGATAAAATTTGTTTTTTCATAGTAAAACATGAATCAACATGAATTATGTAGTAGGTATTTTTGTTGTCGAATATATATAGACAATCTACATCTTGTAGAATGGAGGAAGCAAAATCTTAGCCGGTTATGAAAACATTGATGTGGTATTGATCTAAGCTCTAGTGAAAATACAATTTCTTTCTTTTAACTAGTTCAGCAATTCACGTAGGCCGGATTGGTTAAACCTTTCCACCAAATTTCAATGAAACTTGCTACACTTTTATTGAGACCAACAATGTGAAGGTAAAGTGATTTCGTAACTTGAAGATGAGTAATGGTTCCCTTTATCTACATGAGTTGGTGTCTAAGAATAATAATAGAAATTACGAATGAGTAGTTTGATTAACGAGCCATAGATTTTTGAACCTCTAAATCATATTTTCAATTAACATGGCATAACCACATTTAACAAACTATTACAATGTTTTTCTAATTATACAATTCTAATTTGATGATAAAAAGTAAGAAATTAATGTCTAGTAATTTCCCATTAAATTTCATCTAGTAAAGTCCAAAGAAGACAACAAATTACATGTCTTCTTCACCTTTAACGGAAATCCCTTCTCTTTTGACTGAAAAACCAACTACAACTAAAATTCATGAGCCAAGCATGCCTTCCATATTAAAAGTTGGGTTAATAATAATTTTAGTCCCTAAAATATATATATTTTGTCAGTTGAGTGATCAATGTATAAATTTTATTAATTTGGTATCTAAAGTATTAAAATATTTAATTCGTGTTTAAATGATCCCTAATCAAATAGACCTTTAATTATGTTAATGGCTGTGATCTCGTGTCATTCTTTTAGACCATTAACACGTGACCACTTCCTTCATAAACTTAAAAGGTTGTCTGTGTAAAAATTATTTAAATACGAACTGAATACTTTAAGGAGCAAATTAATAAAATTGAAACAATGAGAATCAAACTAACAAAACACGCATATTTTAAAATTTTTTGGCTTCCCTATTTTGTCTTAGGTTCAATCCGGAAAAATAAAAACATTCATTATGCATTTTTCAGAAATTTGCCAACGTATATTATTAGTTCATGTGTTTGAGATAAGAAAGGAGAAAAACTAGAAGAACAATTTTTCAAAAACTCGCAAAATTAACTCAATAATTTTTACATGTTGAATTGGTGTGTCAATGACGAACTTTGGTCTACAAAAGTGTTAACACATCATACGACACTCTGTTGCTATGTATATATTTTTCCACTATTGATTTATTCAGAGCAAGAGACTTAGGGGGTCAAGGGTAATTCTGTAATTTAATAGAAAACCTTCCCATAATCATCTCTCTCCACTCCCAGGAACATCCCACCTAACCTACGTTGAAATCTCTGAGGGGCTGTTTGTTTGATGGGTATTAAGAGAAAGGTCTAATATCCTAATAAAATCCATGTTTTGTTAAACTTGTTAAACCCGAATTACACACCCAGCCATTAGTCGGCCCGAAGCATTAAACCCACATACATGAATTTCGGTAAACTCACGGAGGGTGAGTTTTATATATGCCAACTTAGGATAGTTACGCCAAATAACTTTTTTACTTCTAATAAAACATTATACCTGTCAAATATAAAATTTATAAATTGACCAAAAAATGTGTCCTTTAACTAATATGAGTATGGATTGAATTGGTTTTTGTGCATTTTAGTCAAGTATATGAGGATTTTTTTTGTTATAATTATGATTAGTTCATGGGTCCCACACATGTGTATTATACTTACCAAACAAGAGATTGAAAATAATTGGTGTGTGAATTCCATGCCGCCACCCCCCACCCCCACCCCCACCCAGGGCGTTGAGTTTGAGAGAATTTAGTAAAACCAATCCAAACCTGCTACACCAAAACCATCCAAACATGCCCTAATAGTTGGCTTTTTATCCCCAAAGTTATCCCCTTGCATATAACATCAAAAGGAAGAAAAATAGCAATTAGATCTCTTTTTTATTTGTTTTCCTATTTTTCTTTGTTTTTAGTGCATTAATTTCCCAAACTCATTGATAGAGTGAATCATATATATTTTTTTGGGTTAATCCCAAATTATACCCCAAAAGATAATTTAAATTTTAATTTGTATCCTCATAGTTTAAAAATATTAATTTATACCCTGAAAGATATAAATTTATACCAATGTGCACCGGGGGTTAACTGTCGTCTATTTTGTTGTTAAAAAATGTGGGCTAATTGTAAATTACATCTTCAAATTTAAATATTTTAAATTTATAATCCAAAAATAATTTCATCAATTAATACTCATTAAGTACCTCTTAATTTGTTATATCGTATTATTTTTGTGTCATGCTTATTTGTGTCATATCGAATTATTTTTGTGTCGTGTTCCAGATAATAAAAAATTATTTTTGACACAAAAAATATTTTTTTTTCGAGTCAATTGCATTGTGTCGTATATTTCATATTTACGACAATTCATATAATATTACTTAAAAAAAATACTTATTGTTTGCCTACAATGTTCATTAAATAGCTATTTTTTATTTAACGTTATACACGACATGACACAATTGAGAGCTATTTAACCAGCATTAATATATGTAATTCTTTTTAGATCGTAAATGTAAAATATTTAAACTTTGAGGGAATAATTTATAATTAACTCAAACATTTTAACGACAAAATGGATGAAAATTAGCTTCAGGTGCACATTTAAACGAATTTATATCTTTCAGTGTGCAAATTAATATTTTTAAACTTTGAGGGTATAAATTGAGAGTCGAGTAATCTTTTGAAGTGCAAGTTGAGATTAACCCTATATATATATATATATATACTAGTCATAACCCGTACCTGAAAACACGGTGAAACATAAGATTCTAGAATTCAAAAAATTGATCCCACTATACTAAATTTAAAATTAATTTCTTTGCTTTTATCATTTAAAATTAATTTCTAACTATTATTTTCTTAAAAATAGCATCAAAATTTTATCAAAATGCATAATTGGACAAAAAAATTTTAACGTGTGTACACTATCGTTATAGATAATATATGAAATAAAAGTCTTGTTAAATTACAAATTAAATGATTGAGCATGTGATATAATTGGTGATGTGACTTTTTTGGAGAGAATTTATAGGTGATAAAAATTCAACTTGCTAACTGAATTATTATATATACTAGTCATAACATGTGTCTGAATGTACGATAAAATATAAAATTTAAAAGCCCAAAAAATTGATCTCACTATATTAAATTTTTTTAACATATGTATATTATTGTATATGGATAATATTTGAAATAAAAATTATGTTAAATTATAAATTAATTAAATATTAAATAATTGAACATGTGATAAAAATGAGTAATATAATTTTTTATGGGAAAAATACTAAAGGAATAAAAATTTAAATTGTTATGTGTTTTATTAGATAGATATATATATATATACACACACATCGGAAATTTCTCAAATGAATGGAGACAAAGAAGACTACAATATAACACATCGCTCGAAGAGAGGGGCCCATAAGATATGAACTCTTCCTTTGACATGGATTGATGTTCTGACCTTCTAGTAGAAGTTGGTGGGGTTATATATTATTTTTCGAAACTAGTTGGGTAGCAGTTGCAAATAGTTTTTTAATCTTTTCACTACTAGAATGAATAAATATGTCTAATGTGAAAAGGAGTGGTCTCGGAAAGAGCACGCCAAGGCAGACCCATAGCAATATAAATAGCATACAAATGCCTCATTGTTCCTCACAAGCAAAGTTCCCCCTTTCATGGGCTCTTACAACTTTGACGTCTTCTAAAATTTTCAGTTTTCTCTCACTTTCTCTTTTCCTCTCCCTTCTTTTCTTTTCTCTCTCCTCCAAGAAAAAGAAAAGCTGCATTTAGAGAGAGAGAGAGATGGGGAAGTATCTGGAAATTTTGGATGTTGGGGTGAGAATTGCAGCAAGATTTCATTCTCACTGTCCTCAAACGGCACGGTTGTACTACCACCCTCCGGCTAACCACGATGACAACCACCAGCAGCAGGACGGCCCACATGGCGGCTTCTTTGGTGGCAAAGCCGCCGGTGACGTATCCGGTAGGGTTGGTGGTTTTGGGTCCAAAAAGGTCATGGCCGTCGATACTACTGATTTCATTCTTTATTCTATTGCCTGATGACAAAAGAAACTTGAGATTTTACGGCTCTTTTGAGTTTTAGATGTATTGGTTTTGAGAAAGTTTCTAATGGAAATTTATTTTTATAAAGTCCAGTGTGATTCCACCCCGCCACCCCCGCCCCCACCGCCGCCGCTCTTTCTCTCTCCCTATATCCGAATATAAATTTAGGGTTCATATGCTTTTACCTATCTTTTAAATGAAGAAAATGCATCCAAAAATATAAAGAAAATGTTATTTGTATTTAACTTAGTCATTTAACCATGAATCTGAACTAATAATGGGGTTTATTGTTAATTTAATAACAGAGAAATTATAAATGTTATGAACTTTAAGTAAAAATTTACAAAAAAATAATAATTATATTTTTTTTTTAATTTGAGATAAAATTTATTAAAAATATTAAAATTGTGGATGTTTGATCAATAATAATTACATATTCTCATATATTTTAATTAATATATTGTTGTAGTTATAGCGTGACTATCATTATATAAAGATTTGATTATATATGTTCTGTATACAGGTTAAATAATATAAACTTGTATTGTTGAAATTGAATTATACATTGTCTTTATTTATAAACAAATATTTGTAATTTTTTACGAGTAATATAATGATTTTAAGCGCGGATAATTACCGGTTAAAAAATATTTCACAAAGTAATCTTAGTACTTAGTGAGGAATCAAACGAGAGATGGAGGGTTAGGATAAAAATTTTCAAACTTGTCGAACCCCTAGATATAATTACCAGGGCTTAATTACATAAATTTGTATTACCTCCAAAAAGGCTTAACTTTTGAGGAAGTAGGTGGGAGCTTATTATTATTCTCTATTGATACGTGATTATGCAAAGTTACATTTACTGAATAGAGATACTCCCAAACAAAATTGAGACAGGATTATAAATAAGCTCAAATATAGGGCCACAAACGTAATAAAGCAAAAGATAAGGGACTTGTTTGCGTAACGTACGCAGGGAATAGTGGCAGCCACAAGCCTATCTGCCTATGAATACAAAAAGACGCAGAGCAGAATAATCTGACCAATGCCCCACCAAAACCATGTGGAGTGTGGACAGACAGCTAAGTCATGACCAAGAAATTAGTAAACCAACCAACCGCGTGACAGCCTAATTCAAAGCTATGACTGGTGGGAATACTGTTTTACTTCCCAATTAATTATAGGAAACCCTAGGCCTAGGGGTGTCTATGGGCCAAATTATTCACAGATTCTGTTATCCGATCCAAAAAATAGGTCCGATAATTAGTCCGATCGAGCCCGAATCTAAAATCCGACCCGAAATCCATTACTTGAAGCTCATAATGGATTTACGAGTAATCTAATACCCGAACAATAACCCGTCCACATACCTGAAGCTCATACCCGTCCATACATGTATTTTTTTTTTTTTGATCAAACATATATGTTTTATAATAAAAGGTGGAGACTTTTGTCCAAAAAAAAAAAAGAGTTGGAAACTTGAATGAATGGTTGGTGGTAAATGAGATTTTAATTTTGGTTGGTAAGAGTTAAGTTCAAATTTTTCAAAACTTTGAATGAGAGTCTCCATTCAAAAATTTTTCAAACATGTTAGAGAGATGTTATTAAATATTATGTACAAGAAAAAAATAATTTAATTACTTATTTTGATAATTTTAAAAGCTACGAAGCACGGATGCTTCAAAAGGGTCAAAGTATTTATATCGGATACTTTTGAATACGGATACGCGTCAGATACGTACCAAATATGTCTGAGAAGTATCCTAAAATTAAAAAATAAAAATTTTACTTTTGGATACGGCCGAATACGTTTTAGATACGAGTGAGATACGCATAAGGATATAATAGGGTATTACTCAAATTTTTAAAAAGTATAAGGACACAAGAGCAAAACTTTTTAGCCCTTATTTGCAAAAAAAAGTATATTAACCTAAAGGTCCTAAACCCAAACACATCGTGATGCTTTTCAACTCATATTTTCTTTTCTTCCATGCCCGTCAGCCCCCACCCCCTTCGGCCTTTCTTCCACAGCCGACAGTCCACCACCCCCTTCGGCAGACGACAAAACAATCGTCTCTCTCTCCTGATCGGCGAAAATTTTGGGTTTTCTTTGTTTAAGCATGGACTTGATATTATGTAATATGTGTATGTGATATAAAATGTATGATTTATAAATGATAGAATGGTTTTTAATTGTTATTATATATTTTTGGTAGATGTGTGATTCACTTTATAAATCATAATTTTACATTAAATAAATATAATAATAAAATTTTAAAAATATATATTTTATGGACGTATTCTAATCGTACCCGTATCCTGATTTTTTTAGTTTTGTCGTATCTCCGTACCCATTTCGTATCATATCCGTATTTCGTATCCGTATTCGTGCTTCATAGCTTAAAAGAAAAATTTATTTTGACTTCTGATATTTGAACTTCTTGCCAACAATTAAGATATTTATGTATAACTGCTCATTTTATTGATGATAA